GGGAAAGGTAGCAGATGTTTTCAAGCACATGAAACTGTCAAAGTTCGCAAAGAAATATCTGGTTTGGCAAGCCATCTGTACCTGTGGCTTGAAAAGCAGCATTTTCATAGCTTCCGGGACTGTCAACCAAGAAATTTACGTGAAAGAGTGTTTGAATAAACGTCTGCTGCCTTTCCTGAAGAAACACGGTTGTTCTGTACTGTTTTGGCCGGATTTGGCATCTTGCCATTACGGTAAAAAGGCCATGGAGTGGTACGTCGCCAACAACGTGCAGGTGGTTCCCAAGGACAAGAACCCTCCCAACACGCCAGAGCTCCGCCCAATTGAGAAATACTGGGCTATTGTCAAGCGGAACCTAAAGAAGACCAAAAAAAACTGCTAAGGGCGAGCAGCAGTTCAAGGCAAACTGGCTTTCTGCGGCGAAGAAGGTGGACAAGGTGGCTGTACAAAATCTGATGGCAGGGGTCAAGCGTAAGGCCCGGCAATTCGGATTTGGAAAAGCGGAAGCCTAACTGAATATTTTTCCTGAATTTTATACTAATTGAACTTGAAAAAGAAATTTAATTTGATTTTTTAAATGAACGATTTCACCGATTTACACGCGTTTTCCCTTGACCAAATTTTGACCGTATCACCCTTTATGTACGAGGAACGTTACGAATGACCATCCGAGGCTGTCATAGCCGAACGAACAAAATACATGACTAAAGCGAACCCCACACGTATCAATATATTGACGCAAAGGGGAATTATTGACAATAATATTGATGATGTGAATACAGAAATATTGTCAATACCAATGTATTGACGTCAATATTTAATGTATTGACAATACGATTATTGCCAATAAAAGCAATTGTGTAGGGTTCACTTAAGAACGAGCTGTCGTGTACTGCACAAGACGGCAACGTTGCATGTCGTATAACAGCCTCACTGTGGGCTGTCGCTTATAGCTCAATCTCAAGGCTGTCGTAGGGAAAAGAAAGCGACAGCCGTTGGAATACTGTCATGAGGCGGTACTTTTGGTATGCCTGGTCGCCATATTGTCATTATGAAAATCCCATTAGCCTTGAAATAAAATTCAAGAAATTTCAATAAAATAATGGCTAAATTAGAGATCCGAACTGATTTCCAGTGTGCATTGGTATGCATTTATTTATTGAGATCTGTTTTCTGTAAAATTAAGATGATTTCATCAAATTAATTTGAATTCTAAAACAATCTTTTTTGTTAACTTGAATTATTTTTGAGGCGCATTTAATTAACGCTCATATTATCCCAATATACACGATAAAATTTCAAGCGCATATGTTTTGGAACTTCTAAAAAGGCATATATTTTCTTTAAGATTTTCACTAATGTCGCCAGGAAACAAAATTGATTGCATGGTGATCTTGACACCAACACTCAAACCTATTTTTACAGCTAAAGATTACCATATGGAAAAAACAAGTTTCAGCAAAACAGAACAACAACAAGCTAATTTATGGCGGTTGCTTTGATACAATAAAAATTAAATTGGATTTATAACTGATATTCACCAAAGCGTTATAAAACTGCTTGGATACAATATTACTCTTAAAGAGGCTATCAGAACCTTTTGTAGAGTATGGGGCTTTCTTGTAAAAGGTTTTAATACAGCTTTATTGTGATTCTCAAACATGCTTTATAAACCTTATCAAGAGTGGTCCACTAAGCTGGAAGACGATCTTATAGCGGTTATCAAAATGTTGTGCTGGAGCTATTAATTTTATTGACGGTTTTATAAATTTGATCTCAAAAACCACTAATAGAGTGCAATAAAACAAGAAATGCTACTTGGGAGGGAAACCACTTTCTTCAGGCAATCGGTGATAATTTTGACTTTTGTGTAATTTTCAATGGTGACCTAGTGAAAATTGATTAAGTATTCATTTTATCGGTTTTGTAGAAAAAATTACAATCGATTGGCTTATTTAGAATTAAAATCCATCCGCTATTTACAGAGTTAAAAGTGGTCAAAACCTGACCACTTTTCGTAACGAGGTTGGTTTTGGTTTTTTGAAATTGCACCCCCAATATGTTGCCGAAATACGTAATCATACGTAAAAAAACACTGGGTCTCACACAATTGACTTGAAGCTCTAGTCATAACCCTCGTATAGTTCATCCCAAAACTCCCTAGAACTTTTTGTCCGAAGTACCTTGGTATTACATATCTCTAGAATCTGTTCAAAACTGGTTTGAAAAAAAAAGTTCTTTTAATAGTTCTTCAAAGTAACTGTATCCTGCAAATCTAGTCCATTCCAAGGGTCTTGAAATTTTTTAAAGAGAGGAAGAAGCACATTTTTTTTTCGATTTGGCATCGAAGTTCACGAGTTTGTCCCGGTGACATCGAATTTCCGGTATTTTCCGGTTATACTGATTTCCCGGTCACCCTGATTATTTAATTTTACAGTTGAAACTGTACTCCTCAAAGGTGCGAAATCGCAAATAAAAGTGTGCGTTTATTATGTAACGTCTTGGTTTCTTCTGCGTTATCTTCCATTTAATTCCACTTTATTAATGATGGTATCCATGACAGATACGTATTTCGACTACAATGTGCAGTCTTCATCAATGCCATTCCCACTAAAGAACTTATCAAAATATAACCAACAATCAATACGAAACTAACGATTTTAAAATGGCTCACTACTTGACTAGCCTATTGGTCCCAAGCAAATCGATTAACGTACCCCATTCTAGTCAAAAATCTAGTACTAGTTGATTCGCTATGAAAGTTTGACAGATAAAATGAGGGGTTATAGGATTTTCCTATGTTTCGAGGGGTGATTCGACTAGCTTGGGACCGAAGATAGTACCAGAACTGAGCCAAAAAGTTGAGCACGTTTCTTCGGGACCTACTTGTCTTAGAGTTACCTCTATGATATAACCAACAATCAATACGAAACTAACGATTTTAAATTGGCTCACCACTTTAGTAGCCTATTGGTCCCAAGCAAACGATTAACGTACCCTATTCTAGTTGAAATTCTATTACTACACTATGTTTGTTTTGATTCGCTATGAAAGTTTGACAGATAACATCAGGGGTGTGTGGATTCATGCAGAACATGCAGGGGTGAGTGAAAAAACTTGGGACTGCTTGGGACCGTTGTTCTGGTACTGAGTGAGCCAAAAATAATAATGATTTTCTTCGGGACCCAGTGGTCTTAGAGTTACCTCTATGATATAACCCCCTTAAGTACTCATCCCCTAGGTAAAAAAGTCAAGATCATAGGTATAAAAATTAAACTACAATGTGTTGAATCGGAACCTACCTAACTAATAAAAACCAAAGATTTAAGTAAACTAAAGGAGAAAAATCTCTACAACTCTCTAATAAGGAAAATCCCAAAGGCTTGGTAGCCATCATAATGAAGTAATGAAATTAGGTTGTTAGCGGAATGCTTTAATAAAACAGCAAAAAAAGGTTATCTTCCATTTAATTCCACTTAATTAATTTTGGTATCCATGACAGATACGTATTTCGACTACAATGTGCAGTCTTCATCAGTGTCATTCCCACTAAAGAACTTATCAAAATCTAACCCCCTTAAGTACTCATCCCCTAGGTATAAAAGTCAAGATCACAGGTATATAAATGAAACTACAATGTGTTGAATCGGAACCTACCTAACTAATTAAAACCAAAGATTTAAGTAAGCTAAAGGAGAAAAATCTATTCAACTCTCTAATAAGGAAAATCCCAAAGGCTTGGTAGCCATCATAATGAAGTAATTAAATTGGGTTGTTAGCGGAATGCTTAAATAAAACAGCAAAAAAGGGGATTTTGATAAGTTCTTTAGTGGGAATGACACTGATGAAGACTGCACATTGTAGTCGAAATACGTATCTGTCATGGATACCACAATCAATAAAGTGGAATTAAATGGAAGATAACCCCTGTTTTGCTGTTTTATTTAAGCATTCCGCTAACAACCCAATTTCATTACTTCATTCTTCTGCGTACTTTTTCGTTCGTTAATTTAATGAACTTCCAACTAAGAACTAAGCATACTGTAGCACTGTAAAAATTTTATTTTTTTTTTACGAATTTTACATTGAAATTCAAGTGGGTATGCCGAAAAAAGGGACTGTAGTGACTTTTTGTCGAAAATAGCGAGGGGGGCGACACATCTAAATCTCAAGTTTAGATGCGCATCAAATCTCACACTAGCGAATCAATCTTCGAAAAATCTTCTTTCATCTGTCGCATCTACTTGCATCGCGCATCATCTTTTTGCAGGAAATCTTCAGAATCGTCATCAATTTTCTTTCTATCTACTCAGCGTGCGCGCAGCTAACCACAGCAAAACACATTTTTTTCCTACATCGTAGATAGAGTCGTCCCCCTCGGAAAATAGGGACTTTTTAGTGACCACCTTCAAAAAAGTGACATAGTCACTAAAAAGTGACCAACTATCAGCCCTGAGACAAGGAACTTTTCGGGGAATTCAAACTTCGTTTTGATTTAAGATTCTTCCGGGGCACTCTTCAGGTCAACCGAGGTATAAAATTCTTACCCACGAATTTGATCGGAAACTGTCAGAAGCGGATGGACCGGGATTTTAGTTTCGAGCGTGCAAGATCGAATCGCGACGTGCTTGCTCCGGTGAAGCCATCATGTAAACAAATGAACTTATCCTGACAACCAATGCCTACTGCGATTCTATACACTCTTAGCTTAATTGTAGCGTTTTTAATGTGCCCTTATTTTTTCGTGTTCAACCTTTAATTAAGATAACTTTTTGGGAAAGTTCCTGGCTCATTATGTCCAGGAAGCCTTAAACGCTTCATCTAGGTGTATTCACGAACTGTCACTTCAGCTTTCTATTGAACAAAGCACTATACACTACACCGTTCTATTGACTAACATCTCTCGAAGCTAACTATTTACATCACCTTTCATGTTGTGTCCCCACCACTAACCTACGCCGCACTACCTTCCCATTAACCACCGAACTCTCTTCTTCCAGTCCCAGAAGCCTTCGGAGCCCATCTACGCTGAACCCACCAAGATCACCGTCCAACGGGATAAATCTCCGGCACCGGATAGTACCAGCGGTGGTTGTGCCAGCAACGACGATTCGGAAGATGACATCGAGTTCCGCTCCCTGCTGGGCAGCATGGGCGATCCCCCGGAGCACACCAAGTCCTCGCTGATACTGAACCGTCGCAGCGATACGCTTCCGTCGGGGAAAAGCTCCGGCGAAGAAGGGGTCAAGCAACGGCTGAGTGATTCCCTAGCCGGGATGAATCACAGCGTGGATGAGAATGGGGAGCCGAGGCCCATGCGGAAGTTTCACTCGAAAAGCTTCAGCCTGTCGGAGAACAAGCTAAGCCTGTCGGTGGCCGGTGGGGGTGCGGGCGTTGGGGCTTCGGCGCTAAATGTGTTCCAGCACAATCGCGATCTGTGGCAGAAGCGGGCGGCGCAGGGTTCGTATCAGAATTTGACCACATCGAGGATCCTGAGCCGGAACCGGATTGCGCCGGATTTGGTGATGGACCTACCGCCAGCGGCTATCGGGAAGGATGGGATCAGTAGTGCGTCCAGGTGGGTACAAATGGGTAGCGTTTTGTGGATTTGGATGGCTTATTTTGAATGATTATTAATTTCAGGGAATCGTTGGATAGTGAGCTAGAGGACATGACCTCGGCGGAGCGATTTGCAGCGCAGAACCAGTGCACGTTGAAGAAGAACGAGCGGTTCTCGACGGAACCGGTCGTGTACGAGAATACCGGTAAGAAGGAGGTGAAGCTGGACGTGAAGGGTATGGTTGATAAACCGAAGGCAGAGGTTAAGCCTCAGGAGAGCAGTATTAAGACACCGACGTCGACGGAGATTCCGTTGATTTTCGAGGATAGTGGGGAAGGAAAGGACGTTCCATCCGACGAGGTGCTTCACATTGAGGAGTCTTCCAGCGGTGGTGGGGAGGGGCTACAGGCTTGCGCTCTGACTCTGGGGACCAAGGAGATCGCCAAGAGTCCAATACCGATAAGAAACACCCAGAAGTTCGTATCGCAGTTTGCCGATCTGCACCTGACCGGAGGGTGTCTGGTGAAATCATCGGAATGCACGTCGGGGGCTGCTGCGACGTCATTGGCCCAAGAGCAACAGGCCAAGAATCTCAGTTCCTTCAAGCCGCAGGTTAAGGTAAAGCCACATATCCTGAAAAAGCCCCAGGTGCTTCCGCCGCACACGCCGGAGATGGGACGGAGGGCACAGGAATAGGGGCGGCTAATGGGGCTGGGTTCCCGGTCCAAAACACTCAATCTGTAAGTGATATACCAAATAATTGCATGTGTTGTAGTAGTGACGTATTAGTAGAGCAGGGATTTTCGAGAGGAGTGTGATGATTGCGGATGATTGCGTGCGCGCGGGAATTGGGAAACACAGGGTCCGTCCCGATGATGTGAGGAAGTCAATAGTGGAGGCAAAAAGGGACGGTCAAACACTGAAAGTCATGAACAATTTTAGAACGGCTTTTGGCTCGCATTTTAAGGCTTTTGATGGGTGCCGTAGGAAAAGGGGGAATGGGGAAAAACACCAATATTTAAATAACAATAAAAATACTAATATTTAAGACTGGATTGGTACAATATACAAAATCGAAATGAAGTAAATTAAATTAAAAAAAAATCAAGAAACACAGGCCAGAAATTAGAGCGCAGATTAGTACACTAACTTAATCTCTCTCGAATCAAAGAAATCGAATTTCTAAGTCAGTAGAGGTACAGTTTTTAAGTGTAATGAACGTAGATTGTGGCAAGTTCATTTATTTTTTTAATTTTAGCCAAAAGAAGTAATCGAGCATCACAAAATGTAATAACCTACTATTTAGGGAAAGTGGTCGGCTGAATCTGATATTAGCATTAGTTTGAAGAGATGTTGTATTCCTTATACCATTTGGTTTTTTTTTATATTAGTCATAATGAACATCGAATTTTCTAGGTTAGGTTCAATTTTCTCGAATCTTTACGTATTTTTAATGATTGAACAAATATTTTACGAAAAATTAAACTCCCATTCATCGAGCATTTCGAATGGAATTGTTTTTTAATCCATTTTGCCAATACCCGCCGATATTTTACCAATTGGTTCATATATAACCCAAAACAGAAAAATCTCACAATCGAACACGGATAAGCAAAAACAGTAACTACGAAAGCAAACAAATTACAGCCAAAACAAAATAGAAACTCTTCGTTGTCCATGATAAAAGTATACAAACCAAAAATTTAAAAAAATACAAAAGAAACGTAATGAAAACATATTCAAATAAACAACCTAAGCAAAGCTAAAATAAACCAGTATTCGAAACAAGGGAGCTACATATATCGAATAAATTACAAATTATGATATGTAAACACAATACAGAAAAAAAACTACCGTGCTGTCTAAACTATCAATCCTAAACCTCTAAGAAAGCAAAGCAAGCAAATCAACTGATCAAAATCAATATACAACGCATATAGATACACTTTTCTCTTTGTCGGTATTAGCCAAACTGCAAAAAAAAAATCCATAATCCAAAATTCAGCCAGAGTTAAATCATCCTTATCTCCGCATTTCGCATGCATCATCGTTCGTTGTCATCATCATCACCATAAAAGGATTGTCATTGTCGTTAGTGAAGAAACAGAAGTTAGAAACGCGGGGGAGGGAATAACTAACCTATAGCCTACACCTACCACCCACCCGCATTCGTTTAGAATCTCTCAACACTGAACCATTTTTAACCATTTACCAACTACCAACCGCAACTTAGAGTTGCACCCACTACTCTTAATAACACCCGCCAGGAAATGTTCCAGGAAGAAGGCGCAGTTCTGGGAAAAAAAGCAAATAAATGAAAATCATACTCAATAATGTAAAGTACTGGGCGGTGAGAATTGGTGTTCTTTGGAAAGAAACTCCCACGTCGATGAATTCGCGATGCTGTGAAGGTGTAAATGTGACGATTCTGTGAAGCTAATAAAGCATGGCAGACTACAGAGGGCTAGACATTTCACCTGACCGTAGTGGAAGGAACAAGCTGCTATTAGTCTTGACATTTGTACCGTCCACATTGTACGACGACGGTATTTCAAGGTGGATTTTGGGTCGACTGGGGTCTCTGTGTTCTAACTTGTTTTTGTCTTGATTTTTTTAGTCAAACTAAAGGCGTTTGAAAGATCATTATTTGGATTACAAATTATACCTGTGCACCGACTTAGATTTGCTCCAAACTTTACGAACTGTATGTGGTTCACTACTAATCACATCTAAAATTGAACTTAGAAAGTTTTCTCATTCTACTGTAAACTGGCTCTGAGATGTCGAATTTTCACAAAATTATTACAGAATGGAGAATACCATATGTGAATAATATTTTTGAAACAAAACAATTCAGTAGCGCAAGGGACATGTTACTAACCTTCTAAATGGTTCTCCTAGCAGTGCTGGAGTTTCAATATTATGATTGCCCCTAAATCAAGACAGGACATCTGGCTTCTTTTCATTCTTCTTCACAGGTTCTTGCGCTCATGCAGTGTCTGTAGTGTCTTATCCGTGCCAAATCAATACGAACAGTAAACCTGAACATCAACCAACTAGCGACTGGATCAAAAACTGGATCCAAATCCATACCCAGTTGTCTTCCCCTATGATTACCCTTATAGAATAAGGCTGTCCACGAGACAGTTGCGATCAGCTGACTTTTTTGTTTACCAAGAACTTTTGACAGATCACAGTAGAACCGACAATCAATACGAAACTAACGATTTTAAATTGGCTCACTACTTGACTAGCCTATTGGTCCCAAGCAAACGATTAACATACCCCATTCTAGTCAAAATTCTAGTACTACACAATGTTTGTTTTGATTCGCTATGGAAGTTTGACAGATAAAATGAGGGGTTAGTGGATTTTCCTATGTTTCGAGGGGTGAATCGATTAGCTAGGGACCGAAGATAGTACCAGAGCTGAGCCAAAAAGTTGAGCACGTTTCTTCGGGACCTACTAGTCTTCTGCTTTGTTTATGTTTACATTTAGCACCATTAACACCTCCCTTAGCTCAGTCGGTAAAGGCGCAGCTACAAAGCAAGACCATGCTGGAGGTGGTTGGGTTCGATTTCCGGTCCGGTCTAGGCATTTTTTGGTCTGGAAAATTTGTCGACTTCCCTGGGAATGGAGTATGATTGTATTTGCCACACAATTATACTAATGCAAAAATGGTAGCAGGCATCGAAAGCTCTCAATTAATAACTGTGGAAGTGCATCTAGAACACTAAGTTGAGAGCACGCAGTAAGCTAATATGCGATATGCAATAAGCTTGAAATGTGAAGAAGAAGAACACCATTAACACCAGCTCACTCACACACTCTAGATTTTTAGCTGTCAGTTCCACTGACAAACGTCTCTTGAATCACCTTATGGTACATTAGTGCTTTGCTAGAAGATTGACGGTCGTGTTTTCCTTTTCCTGTCAAATATTTTGATTTATTTTCGTTTCGGTAGTTTTGGATAGAGTTCAGCACAACGTTATACATAAAGTTTTCAAGCATAGCCGAATACAAAAAAAAGTAAGAGGTTCTATCCAAGACACGACTGTAAATTTGACGTAGGATTACGTGCTCGGTATCAATATTTGGCGACTGTGTTAGGGAAACCACTTTTTGCACTTTTTTGATCACCATTGGAACAGTTTCGTAGAAAATTTTACAATTGATTGGCTTGTTTAGAATTAAAATTTATCCGCTATCGAAAGAGTTATAAGTGGTTAAAACCTGACTACTTTTCGCAACGCGGTCGATTTTGGTTTCTTTAAATTGCACCCCCAATACGTTGCCGAAAGACGTAATCCTACGTCAAAATTATCGGTAGAATTCAGAAAATTAGAAATTAGCTGTATGCACAATTGGCTTTTTTACGTTAAATGATCTTTATTTCTTGAATTTGTTTGGCTCACATGTATGACTTATCAAGTGACACAGATGCGTCTTTTCAACTTAAGTTGTTATGAAATTTCAATAATTATTAATTACAGTTCCTAGTCCTATCAGGCCGGTTTTAGAGAATGACCACCTTTGTGGGATTTATTTGATATACATTTGAAAAAGGAGACTACTTAAGACTACTACTTCCAACTACAACTAGCCTACAACTACTATATACACCTAACCTACTATATACAAATTGCTTATTATTCTGATGTATTGCATTTTTGCACAAACCTAGTCCTAATGTCAGCAATTTTGAAATCTAATTGATCATTTTGTCAAGCTTCTGCATTCATGTTCCATCAGATGTCACAGCTGTTGTTTGCGGTGACATCTATCGGAAACTAGACACAATCTGTTTTCCTATAATTGTTCACAGAGGACACTGCAGTGCAAAACATGTCTGGTACCTCTATATATGCATTTAGATTATTATTCGAAGTCCCTCCTTTTTTACACATTCTGCACACAAAACAGCTCACTCCTCACAGAATTTCCCGCCGAATTTTATGTATGGGGCGGGGCATAAAGTATCTTTTGCGCAGAATATGTTAAAAAGGAGGGACTTCAAATGTTAAAGCAAATGCATATATATAGGTACCAGACATGTTTTGTAGTGTCAGGTACTCTATTTTGTAATCTGTGAAAGGGAAATCACAAATCGAGTGTCAACAAAATACATGGCATGTTGAGAGATTGAGCTCGTTAGAGAGAATTTCTCTCTCAAATTTGATTTTTTTTGGCTCTCTGGGGACTGGTAGCAAAGCAGGTAAAATTGTATGGGGAAAAATCATTTTTATTTAATTGTAGCTTGTTTAGCATGAATTTCCGGGAAAAACTGAAATTCTTTAGGTTGTCGTTCACTTTTTTTTGTCGTGAATATGCACCGAAAGCGAATTATTCCCTCTTCTCTCAATTTCTATATGGGGATTTTTATCACTTCCAACCAGCGGAACAGCGCCATCTCTGTGGAAAATGGTCGAACAAAATGATTAATTTAAGAAGAAGCATCCTCAGCACTCTATTCTGAGCGAACTGGATTTTGTTCCTGTGAGTCTGTACACATGATTCCCACAACGGAGCTGCGTAGAGGATCGCAGGTGCTATGATTTGTTTGTAGACAGCCATTCACCCTTGAGAGGTGGGATCTGCGGCAAATCAGCGGATACAGATACCTAACCAAGGCAGAACACTTGACTACAGTTTTCTCTACATGCGAACGGAAGAGGAGCTTTTCATCGAACAACATCCCGAGATAGGTTACTTCGGCAGACCACTCAACCCTTGTGCCATCCATGATTACAGTACAAGATGGAGCCGGTTTTAGTTTGGGCGATTGTAGATGGAGGAACATGATTGTTTGTGTTTTGGAGGCATTGATTTTGATTTTCCACGTGGTGGCATAATCAGCTTAACGCCTTTGCATCGTTGAAGTATGTTATTTCGCGAGGAATCCTTCCTTTGACGGCTATTGCAGCTAGCTATCAAGGCTGCCCTCAAGAGCCCTCGATTCACCGAATAAGGGCGAAGAAGCCGCACCGCTACTCATCGGATTCGGTTGCTCGTCGTGAGCAGCTGTGGGTCATCTATGCCAAGCGCGTCACCCTCGTTCCAAACAACATACAGCTCGCTAGCCTCATCTGTGTTTAACACCCTAATAGCTCAGCATTACTCAACCATCACGACAAAACGGTTCTTTTCAGGATCACCATAAATTATCGTTGTTGAAGATTTAATTTTCATTGCCAGTCACATCACGTTCAAAGTACTTTGATAATGTACCAGCAACCAAACGTTTGTGGTCACACGCGTAACAGTATTGAAGTGGTACATAAAAATTCTCGCAATGACCGACCACATGACCTTGTCAATTAACCAGAAACACTTCGAATTAAGGTAAGGTTTTCTCCAGGACGCTAGAAAGAGAAAAACAAAAATCTCGAATTTTTATGATTGATCGCACATATCTCGCGATTGGAAAATTTTAGCAAGAAATTCCTCCAATCAATTTTCGCTTTATTTTTTATTGAATAAACCAAAATTTCCGTGCGGTTTGTGCATGAAAATGTGTAATTTTGTCATTAGAAAACAAGGCGTTTCCGTGATGGGGAAAAGTGGTTTCCCTAACACAGTCGATGAATCTACGGTTGTGTCTTGGATACAACCTCTTACTTTTGACGTAGGACTACGTCTTTGATTTCTATATGGGGGTACACTTTGTGAAAACCGAATCAGAAATATGGCTACGCATCGATA